GGCGGCCCCCCGGCCGTTGGCGCCGCCCCTCCAGCGCCGCCCACGCTTAAAGCCACAGCGGCGGCCGCAGGGCGGCTCGTAGCGGGGGCGCCTCCACTGGCCGCGCCCGTGGCAGCCGCCGTCGCTGCCGCCGCGGCACCTGCGGTCCCAGTGGACGCGCGGGTCCCCGCAGTGGGCTGCGACACGCTCGGACAGCGGCACTGCTTCTTCAGGGAGGCGACCTTGTCGATGGCGGAGCACCCCTGGCCCGATTGGCCCGTGATGGGGCTTCGGTCTTGCCCCGCAGGGTCTTCCGCTTCATGAAAACCAACGGTGGGACACCACTCAGGCGCCACTCCCCATGGCGCACCAAGGCGCGGTCGCGCACGGGGGAGCTCGGCGGTTCCGAGCACGAGCGCGCGCGCCAGCTGGTCGAGTTTACGACGATCTACGATCAGCTCAACGTCGCGAATCCCGCGCCCAGGGTGATGCTGGCTCGACCGTGCAGCTCCACGAGGAGAGACGAAGGACGACCATTTGGACTCGCACCTGTTTCTCGGCTGCGACCTCGCCCAGGGCAACAACACCTGCGCGTCGCCGCAGTTGGCCGAGCACCTGAAGGAGGAGATCACTAGCGGCGGAAGGCGCGCGAGGAGCGGGCCACGGCGATGAAGGACTATTAGGGCGGCAAGAAGACGGGCAAGAAAGATGACGATGGATAGACGCACGGCGGCCGTTGCACGCGGGCAGCCTGCGGCCGCAACCCCACTGCCCGCCTGCGGAAATCGACGCAGCCAGCACCTCACCCGCTCAGTTATGCTCGAGCTCTCGTGACGCGGGTCGCCAGCGTGACATTTTTCCATTGCCAGCTTTGCCCTCAGCACCCGCAGCGCCGGGTCACGGCCGGTCTCGCAAGGCTCTCTTCCGACGGCGGCTGGATCGCGCTCGCCACGTCGCCTGGGACGAAGACGCAATCGCCGCGATAAACTGCATGTCTCCCCCTGGCGCCTCGCCGTCGGGCTCATCTACCTCGGCCCAGCGGGGCGCCCTCGGGCGCTCAAACATTCTGCGCCCTCGCACAGACGCCGCCGCCCAGCCTCGCGAGGCTTGCCCACGCGGCCTAGACATAGACCCGATGTTGGCCAGCTCGCCCACCATCTACTCCGACTGCGATACGTTGGCGCCCAAGGCCCACGACGCTTCCGCGCAGTGCGCGGCGGCCTTCTGCGCGGCGAAGAAGAACGGCCCCCTTCGTCCAATCTCTGACACCCAGACGGCGAACTGCCACATCGCAGATGTTCCGTCCACGCGGACCCCCACCGCCTCGGCGTTCTCGGACCTGGCGGTCGAGGGCGGCAGTTGCCTGGCCGCCGCTTGCGACATCAGCGACGCTTCCCACCAGATGCGAGCGCCCCCTGGCCTTAAGCATCTCTTTCGCCCCCCGCCGATCGACTCCGAGCCGCTGGCGTGACAGGCCAGACGTCTGGAGCGGCCCGGAGGTGCATCACCGTCACGCCGGCGGGATTCTCTTGGTCGCCGCGCATATGCCAGCGCGCCCTGCGCTCGGCGATTAACCGCGCTGGGACCCCCAGCCCCCTCGTCATCGAGGACAGTCGCCCCGGCGTTCGACTCGCCCGGGCCGCTGACGTCGCCCGCGCGGGCTACGCGTACAACAATATGACCACGGGCACCGACGCCACTCAGATCAACGCCGCGGTCGACCAGGTGTCGGAGCAGCTCCAGGGCGTCAGGCCCCACGTTCATGACACGGAGCGCGTTGGGGGACTGGGCGTTCCTCGGCGTGAAGCTCCGCTGCGGGCGGCGGCTGTCTATCGAGGGCCACGACATCTGGCGCCTGCGCAACGCCATCGAGGACGTCCTTCGTCGTAAGAAGATCTCCGGCCATCTCCTCCGGATCCTCGCAGGGCACATCACCTGAGCACCCTTAGTTCCGAGGAATGCTTTGGCCCTGCTCGACGCGGCGTACGCCTTCATCGAGGCCAACTCCGCGGAGTTGCAGAAGCTGTGGCCGTCGGTTCGACGCGAGCTCAGGCAGGTGCGGCGCCTCCTGCCGTTGCTCGCCTGCGACCTCGCGCCCCCTCGGCGCAGTCACGCCACCTGCTCGGGCGGCGGCGAGTTCGGGCTGGGCGGGCGGTGCCGGCAGGGCCCGATTGCCGAGGTCGCCCAGGTCGGGCGCATTAGCGAGCGGCGGCGCTACTGCGTGGAGGGATTTCAGAAGGCCCGCGAAAGTGCTTTGCGTGACGCTTCTGCCGAAGATAGACCATCTTCTCCTGGTCACGATTTGTCTCTCCTGTCTGCGGGGATCGGGGCCGCGGGCGTCTCGCCGATGGAACTTTCAGTCGCCGCGTTCGAAGAAGTTCATCGGCCGCTACCTCACCCGTGCCGCCAGGGCGGGGCCATCGCTGCCACCGTCAAGCCGGGTCGCATCATCCTGGCGCTGGAGGTCGAGGCACTGCTGATCTCGACTCGCCACCTGCTGCGGCCTGGCACGTGTTACGGCCGCCGACTGCTGGCGCTCGTCGACGATCTGCCGCTCTGCTTCGCCGCGTCGAAGAGCCGTGCCGCGTCGCCTCTGTTGCAAGTGCTGCTGCTCAAGATGGCCATGCTTTCGCTGGCGTCATGGTTGCATTTTCGATGTCGGTGGACCCCGCCCGGGCCTCTGAGTCGCGGGGAGCGGTCTTGGTTTTATGGCATAGCCCAGGACGGTTCAAGCCGGCGCGCGCGTCGCCACGCTTCTGGCCCAGGCGTCACCGCAGCGCCGCGCGGTGCCCGGGCCGACCGACGCCGTGCGTCGGCGGGCGCAGTCGGCTTGACGCCCGGCGGGCCGCTGGGCCATCAAGAGCAGGCGGCCGCCCACCCTGCAACCCAGACCTCCCGCCGCACGCTGCCGAACGGCTTCCCGGGCACTTGCTCGGCCCACCTCCTGGACTGGAGATTGATGGCGGAGCTCGATGGCGCGGCCACGTCGCGCCTCAACAACCTATGTTCCTCAACGGTGACATCCCCGGCAAAGGCTTCAATTTGTTTGGCGGATTTGGCCCGCTACGCGCCAGGGCTGGGGGGGGGCGTGGAAACCCCCGCCCCCCTTCGAGCCTCGGCCAGCGGCGGCGCGGCAGCGGCGGATTCCGATGGCCACGCGGGCACCGCTCCCCAGAGCGGCGGCCCTCACCATTGCCGGGCTGATGATCTCCCACGGCTCGAGACGGATGGCCACCACGGTGGCCCCATCGTTCTTGGGCCACTCCTGGCCGTCGAGGCGACGCAGCTCACCGCAGCGCGTCCGACGCGCCCGTGGCCACGGCGGACACGCGCCGCCACGGCTGGGGGGCCCTGCTGAACCCTTCGGGCGGCGGCGCGCCCAGCAAGACCAACCACTGAGACGAGTCGGCGCACCTGGACCTGGACCTGGACCAATCCGCGCGGCCGATCCTGGCGGCGCCACAGTTGGCGGGCCCCGCCACGCAGCCGCCGTGGAACATCACGGCCGCGAAACACCGAGCGGAATTCAGCCGATTCGCCGACCTCCTCCAGCTGGACCGACGCACCCGACCACGCACTCCTGGAGGCACGGGGGCGCGTCTCACGACATCCTGACGCGGCGCCGCTCCGTCGAGAGCACCCAGCGCCAGGGTCGGCGGGCGGCCCCATCCAGCACGAAGAGGTATGCGAGAGCGACGCACCTGCAGCTGGCTGTGGCGAAGGTGCCCGATTGGGCCCTCCACTTCGGGACGCTCGGGGAGTTGCACTTCGCGAGAATCCTTAGCGCGGCTTCAACGGGGAGTTGCTACAGACGTTGCCGAGGCTGGCCGCGGCGCTCGCTGCGCCGGCCCAACACGCGGTCGCGCCCGCACCCACGACACGCCGAGCGACATCTGCGCGGCCCACTGACGGCTCAGCTGCAGCTTCCAGAGCGACGGCGGCATCAGTCCTTTCTGGAGCTACTCGCCGGCAGCGGCTGCGTGTCTGTTGAATTCAGAGCTCGCGGGCATGGCAGCGTCGCCCTTGACCTTGCCCACGGTGCCGATGAGGACCACCTTTGCCGTCGCTCCGAGTTGCTAGTTTCCAAATGGCCGAAAACAAGTAGCATTCTCGGCGTCTTTCTCGACACCCCATGCACTGCCTAGTCTCGTGCTAATCGTTGCCCCATCCATTCGACTGAAGCCCCCATGGGCCTGACCGATCTTTCTGATGCCCAGCTGGTGCGACTCCACTTGGGAAACGACACTTGTGTTTTCAGTTGCCGTTTTATCTCGCTTTGCAAATCGCGTGGTGCGCCCTATATGTTGGAAAGAGCGTGTTCCACCGCTGCTGGCGGAAAACTGGGGGGGGTCACTACCGGTTCGAACCCCCCCCCCTCCGGAAAACCGGGGGGGGTCATTACCGGTTCGACCCCCCCCCCTCGAAAACCGGGGGGGGGGCGGACAGTGGTGGGGACGGTAGTGGTGGGGACAGTGGTGAGGGGACAGCGGGACAGTTGCGGGGACAGTGAGACAGCGTTGGGGACGGTAGTGGTGGGGACAGTGGTGAGGACAATGGTGGGAACAGTGGGGACAGTGGGACAGTGGTGGGGACGGTGGTGGTGGGGACAGTGGTGTGGGGACAACGGGAATGTGGTGGAAACAGTGGGACAGTGGAGAGTACAGTGGTGGTGGGGACAGTGGTGAAGGCGGTGGCGAGGACTGTGGTAGGACAATGGGACAGGTACAGTGGAAACAGTGGTGGGGACAGTGGGGACAATGGTGGGAACAGTTGGACAGCTCAGTGGGACAGCGGAGGAGTCAGTGGGACGGGACAGTGGGGATAGTTGGGCAGTGGCTGGGGCCGTGGAGAAAGTGGGGAGAGTGGAACCGTGGTGGGAACAGTGGTGGGGACAGTGGGGACAGTGCGACAGTGGTGGGGGCACTGGTGGGGACAGTAGGGACGGTGGTGGAACCAGCGGGGACAGTGGTGGTGAGGACAGTGGTGCTGGGAACAACAGTGGGGGATGTGGTGCGGACGGTGGTAGGGACGTTTGCTGGCGGTGAGGGGTGGGGGGGGGGGGTTCGAACCGGTAGTGACCCCCATCCGGTTTTCGAGGGGGGGGGGTTCGAACCGGTAGTGACCCCCCCCCCCCGGTTTTCGAGGGGGGGGGGGGGGGGTAGGGGTTAGGGGAGGGGGGGGGGTTGCCAGGGATGGGGGGGGGGGGGGGGGGGGGGGGGGGAAACCCCAGGTTCCGGAGGAAGAGGGGGGAATGTTCCGCAGTAAAACGGCGGTGGATCACACTCTCTCATATGTTGGAAAGCCCTCAGACTTCCATGAGCTGGTCCGCCCCTCGCCTGATCCCCCCCTCACCGACGCATCCTGCACGTCCGCCGCGGGTCACCCGCGCGAGTTCGGCGCTCGGTGGCGCAAGGCCACTCGCATTGCAGAGTGGCACATTTCCAGCCTCGTCTGCGTTGAGAGGAAGCGCTGTGTTCAGAATCGCAGTTGCTATTTATCTGGGCAGTATCACATTGCGCTGTCTGGGCTTGCTCCAGGCGGCCGCGAGTGGACTTCGATTGCTACCGAGTATCCAAAGAGATTCGCTTCTGTGCCCCCGCCCAAGCTCGCTGTGATGTCAAGCCAGGTAGTTTGCTATATGAGCAGTGTGCGCGTGTGCTTGTTGCGATCCCTGCGGGGTTCTCCGCCTGACGGCCAGTCCGACCTGCGGGGTTTGGGGAGGTGTCGGCCAGCCTTAGCAAGTCGACCAGCGGGCTGACATTGCCTCTCGTGTTGTGCGCAGCATCTGGGCAGCCTCCGCCTTCAGAGCCTTGGCACTAAATCTAACGCATGTTTATACATTGTTTGCAGTCTGACTGCCTCACGAGCATCACAGTAGCTGCTGTGAGATGCCATATCGCATTGCAGAAAGGTTCAACCGGAGCGACCGTGCGGTTTCTACGCAACCGTTGCCGCTGAAGCTCTCCCGCCTGTTTTTGTTTTCGTTTGCCTGTTTTCGACTTCTGGAGGCGTCGTGTGTCTTAGCAAGTCGACCAGCGGGCTGCCATTGCCTCTCATGTTGTGTGCGGCGTCTGTTGGGCAGCCTCCGTCTTTCAAGCCTTGACGCTGAATTAAGTAGATTACATGCTGGCTCACCGCCTCCCGAGCGATACAGTAGTTGTTTATTTTGATTGATCCGGGGGGAGGAAGGAACGAAGCATGCATGCGGGGAGGAGAGAAGGAGAGAGAGGGAAAAGGAGAAAGGACAGCTCAGGGCCAGCGACGGCGAGGAATCGGAGAGGTAAACAAGGAAGGAAGGAAAAGGGAGGATAGCGAGCCACGCACAGCCTGGCGGGTCCAAGGCCAAGGACAACCGGGATCCAGGGGCGGGGTAGGAGGGCTAAGAATTCTTTGGAGCCTTTTTCGAAAACTTCAGAACGCCAGAGAAGCCCTCAAACCCTCGACGGCCCTCCCACCTCGTCCCACTTCCTCTCCTCCCCATCCCTCGTTCCTCCCCCCCCGCTCCATTGTCCGCCCTCGTAAGGAGGGGCAGCTCAGGGCTCGACTGCAAGGCTCGAGTTGCAAGCGTGCTCCGAACCGTCAATCTCGGGAGATGAAATCCAAGGATTTGCGCTCCGGATTTTCATATCACAGAGCAGAGGAGGGAGCAGGGAGGAATACGAGGAGGACGGAGAAGAAAAAGAAGAAGAAGGATGAGGAGGAAGAAGGAGAAGAAGAAGAAGAATAAGGGAAGGGGGAAGAGAGAGGAGAAGGAGGAGGAGGAAAAAAGATTTGGGAGGATGAGAAAGAGGAGAGTGCACTCGATGCGCCGTGCCACCTTTGGGTGCCTGCAGCACCTTTTTCGCCTTCCGTGCCACTGCCAGCGCCGCGGTGGCCGCCTGCCGCGCTTCGGCCACTGGGCCGCCTGTGCCCGCAAAGGAGGCGTGCGCGCATCACCCGGGTCGCCCGCAAAGGGCGCGAAGAGAACCGCGCATTGCGACTCTCTCGTGGTCTAGGCTCCGAGGGGGTGCCTTTGTCTTTCCAGCGGCGCCCCGATCCGCCTCGCCGCCTCCGGTCCCTCAGTCGCACGCAGGGCCGCGAGGACAGGCACATTTCGCGCTTCGCGGCCTGGGCCGGAGAGCTGCCTTTCTCCAGAGGGAGGGGCAGCGCGGATGCGCGCGAGTAACCCCCGCATCGCGTTGCGCAAAGCACGAAGTGCGAAGTAAGGCGACCAAGGTTCTGATCACAGGGAGAGATAGAGGGAGAGGGAGAGCGAGGGAGAAACACATATACACGCACACACACACACAGACACTCTCACACACACACACACACACACACACGCAAAAGGAATCGCCCAAGATCAAAGAAACGCGTCCAGTACGATGCTGCTTGGATGATCCCGGACAAGGCAAGGCGTCAGGGCGCCATCCATGGGTATTTGTGCATGAGAAAGAGGGTGAAGAGGGATTGTATAAGTATGAAGTAAAGACAATACTTTGGAGCGACATCAGCGGGTCCCATGCAGCAAGAGACTAGTTTGACAGCTGTTGAAGTTGCTCGGCATGTAGTTCGCGTTGCGGTCGAGCTACGGATCGCCATGTGACATGTGGTTTCAAGACAAGGGCTCATTCATGTTGTGGTCATTGTTGCTTTGCGCAGATGGTATGACATCTTCGTGTATTCGGAAGTTGCGCATCCATAGTAGCAAAAGACGTCAGTCAAGGTGCTTGTGATGGCGGACCCGATGACAACCATCAGGTGGGCATGCGCTGAAGAGCGGTGAAATATGTGCGTGTGTGTATGTGTGTGCGCGATGCTGCATCTCAAGTCCATATGGAGCAATCCAAAGGCGCATGCGATGGATCAGTTCGGGCGCCTCGCAGATCATCATTGTGTCAATGCTTTTTGGCACCGCCAGGGTTCTGCCTGCCATCTTACAAGTTTATGCATGGAAGATTTGTTGCGCCGACTATTACAAACGTGTGCGCCAGCATGCCATGGCACCAGAGTTGGTTTGTTACTATTCAATCGCTGCGCTCATCCCGTAAGCCAAGACTGCATCATCGTTGGCATTTGCTTGTGTGCCCAGCTGAGGAGGTGGTGGTTGGCCGTCGTTTTCTTGTGTTGTCGCGTGAACTTCGTTTGGAAGATAAACAATGGCAGAACATTTGTAAGGCAAAGCTCAACGGAGCTCGCGCCCACTGAAGCTCCGTGAGGGCATCCCGCCACTGTGCCTGGGTCGTGGGTCAGAGGCGTGTTGGATGCCTCGATGCCTCTCGGGAGCATATTGGAGGCTTCTTGGGCCGTCTTGGGGGCCAATTGGGCCATCTTGAGAACATATTCGGCCATCTTGGAGCGTGTCTAACCCGTCTCGAAAGCTCTAGGACCGACTTGGAACTCCCCGGGGGCGCTCCTCGGGCTTTATTCGGGGTCATGAAGCCCGCGCCCAGGAGTTCCGGCATCTCTGAACCAAGTTTGTTTGAATTTGCTCCTGGCACTTGGGACCCCCAGGGGCCGCCCGTGCACGCGAACTCGTAGTATTCCAAACCTCTGACCGGAGATTCTAGCACGGTTTTTAGCCTGCTGGGCTGGCGAATTCAGGCCTGATTGCGTTGTCCCATTGTCTTGCTTGTGGCTGCAGCAGATTAAAAAGCTGATGTGCCGTGCAATCACATAACGTGCTACCTCCCCGTTTCGCGAGGGCGGCACGTGGCAGCGAATGCTGCATGCTCGGATGGCGTGCCACCACAGATCTTGTCCGTGGAGCGCTCCGAAAGGAGGGGGGGAACTCGCAGGCAGATCTCCCTGTCAGGGGTCCCCCAGGGATCGCCCAGCTGGGGCTCTCTTGTTGGGGCCCGCTTCGGGCCTCCCTCAGGCCCTCTCCGGGGCTATGTTGGGACCCCTGGGGGGCCAGGATGGGGCGCCTCAGGGCGTCCGCGGCCGTGCTGCACTGTCGCTAGTGGGGCCCTCTTGCGGAGCCTCGGGGCCGCCTTGGGCCAGTCTTCGGCCGCCTTGGGGGGCCGTCGGGGGACCGCTCCGGGAATCCTCGGGACTGCCTCGAGGTCTGGCGGGCCTCCTTCGGCTGCCGAGGCGCTGTCCGCGGCGGCCCGCCAGCCCCCATGTCTGGGGCCATCGAAGGTGGGAGGCCACAGGCTATCAAGGCGTCAGCCGTTCCGAAAGTGGTCTCGCCTTCAGGAACCGAGGAGCCGACATCTCGCCTTCGGCGGATATCAGAGAGGGAAAGATGTCCTACTTCGCCAGCGCAGGCTGCGGACCTCTGGGCGAAGAAGCCCGCGGAAGGAGGGTCGAAAAAACCCAGGAGAGAGGGGTCGCCGCCAGGGTATGCCCAAGGTTTCGGGGGCCTCCACGTTACTTACCAGCGATGCAGCAGTGAAGTGGAAAGAGCGTGGTCATCAGTTCAACCATGGGGCCATTGGGGCGGGAGCCCAAGAACGTCAGTGGCGGTGATGATGATGCTGATGCTGATGCTGACGCTGATGCTGATGCTGATGCTGATGCTGATGCTGATGCTGATGCTACTGATGACGACGATGCTGGTGATGATGATGGTGATGGTAGTGGTGGTGATGCTAATTATGATGCTGATGCCGATGGTGATGGTCATGGTGATGGTGAAGGTGATGGTGGTGGTGGTGATCGTGATGGTGATGGTGGTGATGGTGATTGTGCTTGTAATGATGATGATGATGATGATGATGATGATGATGATGATGATGATGATGATGATGATGATGATGATGATGATGATGATGATGATTAGATTAGATTAGATTAGATTAGATTAGATTAGATTAGATTAGATTAGAACCCATTGGAGGCGGCCCCGTCTCTCCCACGTGCCCGAACGCCTCTAGGATCGGGCTAAACCCGAGCTTAAGTATGCGATGTGCGACCACGCATCTCGCGGCACACTACTACGTTCAGTAGTTACCGCGATGCCCCCGCGAGAAGTCGAAGCACGGCTGACTGGTCAGCCTGGCTAAAGCGCTCAGAAAACCTAGAGCCCTGTCGGGCTCCACCCTGGTCCCTAGACGCGCCTCCAGAAACAACACGCGCTCCAGGGTCCGTGGGGGGCCTCCGAGGCCGCACGTGTCGTTGGGTCTCTGCAGGGCGTGGCGGTACCACCTGGAGCCGAGGAGCGGGGGTGGGGCAGGTGCGAGGGGGCTCGTCAGGCCGAGAGGAAGGGGTGGGGGTCTCCAGAGTCCTACTGGCAGCCTGTCGGGCACAGGGGTGGAGAGTCGGAGGAATTTGCGAGGAGGGGGGAGGGGTCACCAGGGCCTCACGTGCAGCCTCACAAAGCCGTCTCACCACGGCGTCCTGGCGTCGTCGTTTCTCCTCTGGCCCCTCGCGCCGTGGTCCTGCATCTGGTGACTGTGTGCGGCCTAGTCCATCATGCCTCCTTCGATCTCGTGCAGGCCCGTGTGGATCAGCCTCTCTAAGTGGCCCATCGGGGCCATCCCCTGTTTGTAGTCTGCCCCTGCCTGGACTAGGGCCTCCAGCACGGGGGCCAGGTTCACTCGGCTCCCGAACGACAGCACCAGCTTCACCTTGCCCTCGTCGTAGCAGTCTGAGAGCTTTGCCATCGGTACTACTTCGCCCATCTCGTGTACAGTCAGCTTCGCTAACTCTTCCTTCAGAGTGCTGAGTTGTTGCTGGTTCGCGCGGCCCACCGCGCTTCCCTCTGCCAGCAGTCCCTCGAACACTCCCGCGAAGCATGCCACTGAGATCGTACCCATCTGCTTGATCTTCACTTGGCCCTGCTCCTTGTCGTTGCCTGCACGGATCTCCTCGGCGGCGCGAATCCACGCTCGCACTCGTCCCCGCGCCTTGACCGCTGGCTGCAGCCCTGACGACATGATGAACGTCTTCAGCTCGATCGACTCGATCTGCCTCTGGCGGTGCGCCAAGTTCAGCAGCAAGCGCATCATCACGGGAAAGAACTTCTGCATGGTCGACACCTCTATCTCGTCGCCGTCGAGCTCGCTGAGGTCCACCAGCTTCGTGTCCTTCCTCGGCGCCTTCTCGCTGCCGCCGCCCTTGCCTGCAGCATTGGCCGCCTTGGCGGTCTGGGGGGGCGCTCTTGCGCCCTCCCTTGGCTGTCTTCCTCGGCCGTCCTTCTGCGTCGCCCTCGGCTATCTCGGGCAGCCCCTGCATCCACGACATGCGGCCGAGGTTGAGGAAGATGAGTAGTGCGAATGTGGTGCTGCAGGGCTTGGAGATCATCGAAATCTTGGCCACATTCTGTTTCTGGGCACTCAAACAGCAGCGGAGCGATGACAGCATGATTGAACACCGAGAAGTCAGCGATGCATCGTCCATGCCTATAGGCAGCAGCGATGTGGTTGATAGCAGTGCGGCGGCAAGCGAACGATGACAAACACGAAGGACACTGGTTCGTCACTGTCAATCTCGTGAAGAAGTTCAGTTTTCCGTGCTCCCCTCCGCCTGTGTGTGTGTCTGATGCGCACGTAGCGCCGCCATCGTGCGAAACCTACGGTTGCATTCCAGACCCTCCTCGTCGATCAGCGAACACAGAAAACCGCCCTCGAAGCACTCCTGATCATCGTACGGCCTCGTGGGAGTAATTGTGGGGCGCTCAAGCCAGGCCTTGCGGAGCTTCGCTACATCGAACTTGAGAAATTGCTGTTTCAGATCTGCGTCCAGGAAAACCTTCATGTGATCGTCCCCCACCGTCTCCAGGAAATCCAGGCCCCCTTGGAGTTTCCCAAGAAGAAACAGGTCGTTCTTGTACTGCAGGGCCCAGGGGTTCGTGCGATCCTTTGGGGTGGTGGTCGGGGCACACGGTGGCGCCCACGCAAAAGTCTGGATCTCTGGGTTCTCGAAAGTGACTTTCCCGAAAACAGCAGCGAGCTCCTGAACATGCCGTTGGGGATTGCGGACGAGAGCTTGAAAGTGGCGGAGCCGTCGGATACCAAGTTCCACGCTGGGGGGGACTATCGCGATGCGCTTCCACACGGCTTCCACACACACCGTCGTCACCTTCCACCTGGCTTCCGCAGCTTCGCCTCCCTCCTCCACCTCACCCCCGTTCAGCCTGCGATAGACCGCTACCCCATTGCACAGCGCAGCAGCATAGCGCGTAGCCACCGAGTCAAGACGCCTGACCTGCTCCTCTGTCAAAACCCGAGCTTCAAGTCCCGCCAGTGCCGCTCCTATAAGACGAGCCCGAAACACCAGACGCCTCCGATTGAAATTCTGACAGGTCTTCCAGAACTTCCCCATCCCTCGCCAGCCCAATCGGATCGCCGCGCATCTAGCTCGGATCTCCTCGTCGTTCCTCCCCGAAGACTGCGTGTGAGCTCCCAAGAAACCGAGGTCGCCTGGACCTCCCCCGAGATGGCGACCGTGTGGTAGTGCAGGGCCCTTGCAGACCTCTGAGCCCCTCTTCCCACGAAACATGGGCCGACAGCTTTTTTTCTCACGGCTCTGGGCGAGGCCAACCCGTCCCAGTGCAGCATCAAGGTACTGATCTGAAACTTCCACTCGACGAGCTGCACTGCGCGCATCTGGGGCAATATGTGTACATGTGAGGTCATCAGCATACTTCCTCACGCCCAGATCGCACACTTCGTGAGTGACTGCGCACCCTGCTATCAGCTCGTGGACCGACGTCGTAGGAAAGAGATCTCTCCTCCACTCAGCCGTCGGCGTCTCAAAAGCCAGCCTAAACTTCGTGGCCGCGTCTGCGTCACCCATGAAACAACCCACTCGATTCTGAAATACACCCGTGCCATCGCAAGCGTCGACTACGCACGCTGTGTTCCGATGTCGTGTTACCATAATCTCCACATCCTCAGGTTGGTACAGCTGCTGGACCGTGTCATCGGGGTGGTGGTGCGTGACGCTGGCGAATGCGTTCGTCATGTCGTGCTTGGTCGTGATGTGGCTCAGGCCTGCTGCACTGAGCCGCCCTTGTAACACATTGCCCACGGTCAACGCACCAACTCGTGACCGCCCTCTCACATAGCCATGATCCTCAGGTGGTGGAGTCAGTCCAGCCCTAGGCTGTCTCGTCCCCACCCATGCCTTGCCGAAACTGCAGAGCCCGTGTAGTAGACGTGTCCCCCTCGTCCGTGGTTTATGATTCTGCTTGTTTACCTGATACGTCTGCGAGAGGTTCCACCAGGCATTGAGTCGATTGCGTTGTCGTACTCCCGCTAGGTGTGCCAGAAGACACTCTTGTAGGTAAGCACCCGCCACAGCTGGTTGGTCATTGGTGGTACGTCGGGACGCGCGGCAGGTGAGAAGAGTACTCCAGACCTCCATCGGTAGTGACCACGGTGGTGCTGCTCGTCGGCGTCGTCCTTGGTATAGCTTCGCAATTACTCCATCCAGATCACGGTTGGCCTGCTCCCAGTGCTCCATTTCGGGGTAGAATGGATAGTCGTGGGCGGACGCTGTTCCAATAAACTCCTCCGCCGTGGTGGCAATGGCCTCCATCCCACCCTCCCGTCCACTCAGTGTCAAGTCCTCCGTCCACGTTTGTAGGTCGGGCTTGGCATCAGGTAGTATGTAAGGATTCCGCTTCCGTGGTCCCAATCCATTGCCCGCCATCTGAAAACTGATCCTCCAGGCCAGATCTTCTCGGTTACCTCGTAGTGCCTCCTCCAGTTCGCAATTCAGCTCACGCTGTCGTTCTCTCTTGATGGTCATCCTTGCTTGCTTGCATCGTCGCGTACACTGTCGCAGTCGTCGTATGCTGTCCAGGTCGCCGTCGAGCTTGTCCCGTGCTCTGGTGCGAGCCCTCAACGCAGCCTCCTTTTCTCTCGCCATCTCGACGTACCACTGCGGCCGATGTCGACGTGTCGTACTGTACCGAGCTTGGGCAACCGTGCGGATCGTAGTCACCACTTTCTCCCAGGCTGTCTCGAGCGTGTGTGCGCGCATCCAGGCATCCACCTCCAGGTACCCGTCCTCTTGTAATTGCGTCGCCAGTGCCACCTCCACCTCCTCTCGGAACTGGAGCGCCTCCTCCTCGCCATTCATCGCACGTCCGAGTGAGAGGTAGTCCCAGTGTACGCCGTGGTTGACAGGCGCACTGTACGTGAGCTCATAGTCCAATTCCGCTACAATAATCATGTGATCCAGCACCGCCACACTAGGTATCGCACGTACCCGTCTCGTGAGGGAGTACGCGACAGCACAGCGCTTCACACGGCACATCCAAGGGGCGGAGATCACCATGTGGTCTATATGGTTGCAGTTGCGGTGGCCGTAATACGTCGGACCACAGGGATACCAGCTCGTAATCGTTGCCAGGTTGTTCTGCTCCATCCAGTCTCGGTATTGTGTACCCGCTTGATGCTCTATGCTGCGCCCGTGGGGCCCTAAACTCTCACTGTCCACTGCTTGCTGTATGCCGTCGACACTCCGTATACCCAAGCCATCATTTAGATCCGTCGCCGCAATCATCGTGGATCGATTGGGGGTCCCCGCAGCAATCTGTTGTAACTGTTCAACCAGCTTCCTGACCGTCGCCTCATACTTCGGAATACTCTTGGCATCTGTGCACCTCGGGGGGAAATAGCTGACCACAAAGGTGAAGTCGTGCTGGCTTGATCTCACTCGTACGGCGCCCAGTCGTCCCTGCAACCCCTGTGGGACTGCCCAGAAGTGTACCAACTGTGCCCTTCGAAATCGTCTCCGATTCAGCCATATCCCCACTCCACAAGATTTGTTGACCATCGCTCCTCTTGGGCCCTGCCATCCAAACTTGATCATAATGAACTGTTCATGGAGGGACACGTCGTGGTACGTGGGTGCGTCTCGCTGCCTCTTCACCGTTGTGCCTGCAAGCAGCACCACATCTGCGAATCGTAGCTGTTGTGCCACCTCGAGTCTCCTGTCATAGTCGCTCAAGGAGAGAGGGTTCCATTGCGCAATCTTCATGCGGGTGGTCGCACATCGCAGCACCGATGTGAGGCAGAAAATGAGGACTGCGGAACTGGCCCTCATGCCCTGGGACCTCGGGCCAGGGCTTGATGATGATGATGATGATGATGATGATGATGATGGTGACGATGATGATGATGATAATGGTGGTGGTGATAGTGATGATGATGATGGTGATGATAATGATGGTGATTGTGACGGTGATGATGATGGTGCTGCTGATAATGGCGATGAGGATCCAGATGCCGACGTCGATGTCGATGGCGAGGGCGATGGTGATGATCATGTTGCTGATGATGACGATGATAATGATGGCCATGATGATGAAGATGAAGATGAAGATAAAGATGCTGATGATGATAATGATGGTGGTGGTGATGATGGTGGTAGTGACGGTGATGACGATGGTGGTGGTGATGGTGATGGTGATTGTGGTGATGATGATAGTGGTGTTTGTGGTGGTGATGGTGTTGATGATGATGGTTGTTATGGTGATGGTGATGATTATGTTGATGAAGGTGATGATGGTGATGATGATGGCCACGACGATGATGGTGATGATGATGAATGGTGATGGTGATGGATGGCGATGATGATGATGATGATGATGGCCAGTGTGATGGTGTTGGTAACACTGGTGGTCATGGACATGATGATGATGGTGATGATGACGATGATGATGATGATCCTCGTTATCATCACGATTATCATCGTCATCATCATCAGCTTCATCATCATCATCAGAATCGTCATGATCTGCATTGTCCAGGGACCCGAACCCGACCACTTGCAGCCACTTCTCCGGCAGACCTCGCGTGGAGGAGAGCATATGGGACATGGAGCCGCCAGTGATGAAGCGGCAGGCCTGGGGGTGGGCATCGGCCGAGCCAGAAGAAGGGTGGGCAAGACAGCGCGCCGTGCCTCGCAACCCCAAGCGATGAATACCTTTATCGCGATCGTGACGCTGAATAAGAGTGCGGTCATGACGGAGGTGGGCTGCTTGATGTCAGCAATGGGAGCGAATGTGTTGACGATCGAGGGAACAGTGGTGATTTTGGTGATGACGATGATTGCACCGAAGCAGATGTTATTCATGGTGCCAGTGAGCATGATGGTGGTGAGCAGACGAGCAGTGATACAAGCATCATCCACACAGCGTAATGCCATCAGAGGCCACCTGAAGGATCTGGTTGCGAATAACTCCCCACATTCCATTGGGGGCTCCTCAGCGTGCTATTCAAGGGTGATTACATTGGTCCTCCAACTTGCGCCATATTTCAAATCGTTGCTGGCCGCTGCTGACCCCCTATGGGCCCCTACGAGATCGGCTATGTCGAAAGTTCGGGCGGGAAGACATGTTTAGCGCTGCTCCTGGTTGCGAAACCGACAACATGATAATTGTTCTTCTCTGTGGCGCGGCGGGGTCGTACACGCTGGCTGTGCAAGTCGGTCGGTCTGGCACTCTTGTCAGACCTCCGAGTTCAAAAGCAAGTTCTCGATCACGTATGCGAGCAAGTCAGCTTGCAATATCAAGCAACGCCGTGATGTGTTTCTGCGCAGGTGTTGGACAGCAGGGCACATTAAACTGGCACCTTGTAAGCAGATGCCCCCCCTGTCTCGGCAGCTGCAGAGCGCGCCATTGGGGCTGCAGTGCGAGGGGCCCACAAAGACCTCGCATCAGTCGGCGACGCGCCGAGGGGGGAAGTCAAGAGGGGGGCAGGCTGTCAGAAGACGGCGGGGCTTCTCGGAAGCCCTCTGGCCTTCTGAAGAGCTGCATGCGTCTTCGGAGAAGGCTCCGAAAGCTCTTCTGAAGGCGAGAGGCCTTCTGAGCCTTCTCAAACGGCCCGCCCCTTTGCCTTCCCCCTGGGCGCGCCGCCGACAACTTTCTGGTCAGCAGCATGGGCGGACGCCAACGCGTTCGGAAAGCTGGCGGGCCGCGCCGGAGGAAGGCGGCCGCGGGAGGAGGCCGCAGGCACAGAGAATATTCGCAACGAGGAATGCGCAGGCGGCCTCAGGCATCGGAAATTGGTGCACTGGAGATGTGCGGCCAGTCCGAGCTGCCGAAGGGAGGGGGGGGCAGCGCTGGTCTGCCCAGAGAGGCAAGCCGTCATCCACTGGGCGGCAGGCAGAATGCCTGCGCTGGGCCCGGGCAGTCGGTGGTCGCCTACAAGGGGGTCTGGCTTTCTTGAGGGCACCAGGCTTTACAAGAGCCTCCTGTGCACCGTCGCACGAGCGGCACCAGTCCAGGGACCAGGACCTTGCTGAAACGCCGCCGACAACACACATGAGCGAAGTTGCATGCAATCCAGTCCATCGGGGAAAATCTGGCAAGATACAGCAAGTGCACAGACGCCGGCTGAGATGTCGGCCGACGTCCGTCATTTTCGGGATGATAGGGGTCAGCGTCGCGGGGGGACTAGGAGACGCCAAATTCGGCCAGACTTGGACCGCGATGACAAAAACTCAGAGGCAAGCTGAGCGGTCGCAGCGGTGCGACCGTAGCACCCCGCAGAAGCGGATAAGAGCGAGGGGGCGGTGGGGACGTCGGCAGTCTGCGAGACTCTGGAGAAGCCCGCCGCAGGCGCCGATTTTTTCGTTAAACCAATGTGGGTGGGTCGCAAATGGGTGGCAAATGGGTCGCGGGTGTGTCGCGGGCGGGTCTCTGTTGGGTCGCGGGTGGGTCGCGGATGGGTCGCGGGGTGGGTCGCGGGTGGGTCGCGGGGTGGGTCGTGGGTGGGTCGCGGATGGGTCGCGGGTGGGTCGCGGGTGGGTCGCGGGTGGGTCGCGGATGGGTCGCGGGGTGGGTCACGGATGGGTCGCGGGGTGGGTCGTGGGTGGGTCGCGGGTGGGTCGCGGGTGGGTCGCGGAGTGGGTCGCGGGTGGGTCGCGGGGTGGGTCGCGGGTGAGTCGCGGGGTGGGTCGCGGGTGGGACGACGACAATCATCAACAACAATGCAACAACGCAACAAGCAGAATGTTCACCACGGATCCCCACTTCAGCCACGCACCCAGGGACAATGAATGGCCGTTCGGCCCCCTCACTCTCACCAAAAAAATTGCACTTCGACTTGTAGTGTACGTGCCTCGCTGTGTTCGTTTGTTCGTGAATTGCGCTATTGGGATTCGAGTTGGATCGCAGCCCAGGGGAACGCCACGTCAAAGTGCAAGTCGGTCCGAGCAAAGAAGAGAGCAGACGCAAGATTTAAAGTTATCCAGGCGAAGAAACCAAGCATGTGCAGTTGTGAGTGCCGCGTTGTGGGTACCGCTTTCGGTGGAGCTCCTTATGAGGCCACGAAACGCGGGAGGGGTGATCCGTAATGGGTGGGGGAGACGGATGCGGCCACGGCCGTTAGGGACTCCAGTGGAGGTCCTCATGCGGCCACGAAACGCTGTACTGGGTGGGGGAGACGCAAGCGAACGTCGCCTCTGGGACCTTCGGTGGAGCTCCAACGCTGTGCTGGGTGGGGGAGCCGCATGCGAACGTCTAATCCGGAGCCTTCGGTGGAGCTCCCTATGGGGCTACGAAACGTTGTTGTACTGGGTGGGAGAACCGCATGCGAACGTCGCATCTGGGACCTTCGGTGGAGCCCCCTCTTGGTCCACGAAACGCCGTACTGGGTGGGGGAACCGCATGCGAACGTCGCCTCTGGAGCCTTCAGTGGAGCTCCCTATGGGGCCACGAAACGATGTACTTGGCGGGGGAGACGCATGCGAACGTCGTCTCTGGGGCCTTCGGTGGAGCTCCCTATGGGGCCACGAAATGCTGTACTGGGTTCGGGGAAGTCGCATGCGAACGTCGCCTCTGGGGCCTTCGGTGGAGCTCCCCATGGGGCCACGAAACGCTGCACTGGGTGGGCGAACCGCATGCGAACGTCGCATCTGGGGCCTTCGGTGGAGCGAGCTACCACATGTGGCCACGAAACGCTTTACTGGGTGCGCCGGAATAGTTGACATGCGGAGGGCAGAGGCAGGAATGGGAGGAGGGAGGAACGGGAGGAGGAGAAGAGAGGAGAAGAGAGACGCGGGGCGCTGTCTTTTCAAAAGGAGGACCCACCAACACAGGATGGTTGGGAAATAAGTGCGAGCAGCTACATTAAGTCTGGTTGGAAAGCTAGTGAGTGCACTGGCTCGGTACGCCTGAAAATCATTCGCAGTCTCAGAAGCGACCAGTGAGCAGGTAGAACCTAAATCGAATTAAATAGCACGTGAAATAACAAGTTGGTGCGTAGCGTGGTAAGCACTCTGAGAGGCGAGCTTGGAGTATGTCGAACAAGTACGTCGGAAATAGAATGCAAGGCAAGACCGTGCGAGATACTGCGATTTCAATGTACGGACAGTCAGCACTAAGACAGGGACGGTAACGCATGAAAATATGATTTGAGGCCAAAAGCATGGGAAGTCTAAACATGTATTTCTAATGGTGAGTTACCCAGATGTATGGAAGCCCCTTGGCTGTAAATCAGCCCCGATGCCTGTCCCAGGGAACGTTCAGTCGGCCCCAGAGTTGGTCAGCGGTCCTTTGGCTGCTCTTGGCAGTGCATGATAGTCCCAGGCTTCGACCTCCATTGTGTAGTCGTTCGTCATGGTGGCATCCATGTGCACTGGGAACTGAATACTGCAGCCAGCCACTCGTATTACTGTTGATGGTACTTGGCAAGCGTAGGCCAGATTGGTATGGTTCGTCCTGGCATTCCAGCCGCTGCTTGCGGATTCAAGAATCAGTTAATTCACATGTACTTGATAGTCACTAGTAAGGCCCTCGGTTCGAGATCCTTGGTGGTGAGCACAGTGACGGCTCTGTAACAGCATGCATTGTGTCAATCGCGAGCCTCCGCGTCCGACATGTATTCGGTTGTTTTACGTCGTCTGTCAACCAGCGGCCTGACAGGTGCATGAAATTTTGGTGTCGCCCCGCGTGTCCTGCTCCATTCTTCGACCCTCAGTGCCCGCGTCTGTTCCAGAGCCATCCGCTCTCCCCCACACCGCGCTGGGTGTCCAGGGTCTGCTTCGGGGTCTTGGGTTGCCGTCTGGGTCGCTGGTCGTGGGCGGAAGACATATCCACGGCCTCGCGGGCCAGGCCCTTGGGGCCGCGGCTCCATGGATGCGGGGCGGCTTTGCGTGGATGCCCCGCGCGGAACGCATCCACGCGGCCGCGCATCCGTGGGATCGCGCTCCGGAGTCCAGCCTGCGAGGGCGTGGACGTGGATATATGCTCGCCGCTCGTGGGCGGGGGGGGGGGGCTGCCTCGGCGGGCCTCGCGGAGGCTGCGATGCTGCCCGTGACGACCCACGGGGGCCGTCGTGCCTCTCCGTGGCGGGCCCGTGCCTGCCTTCTGCCCGGGCGCCCCTGCGGGGGCATCGGGCGGTGGCCGAGACCCCCGCCTTGGGGCAGAGACTGGCTCCGTGTTCTTTCGGGAGGCGCAGCGCAGCCGGCCAGAGTTTGGGCGTGGTCGGGCTGCGGGCGTGCGGATTCGCACCCTTCGGTCGCCCAGTCGCCGCGCGCCTTGCCGTCCTGGGCGCCGCGCCGCCCCGTGGGTCTCCGTGCCTCGTCGACGGGTCGCAGCGCTGCACAGTGAGGATTGAGCAGGGCAGGGTTCGGGTGCACGTCCAGTGGAAGCCCATGCCAAGAAACACCCTGTTTGCCTCCAGGGTGCCCTTGGTTTTTTGGGGGCTCGATGGTTTCGCTATGGAAAGCGTGACGCTCCCACACCAAAAGTCAATGGACATCCTGGGGGTTCAAGGTTGGGTTTCTTATGGAAGGTTTCATGTGGTCGAGCTCCTATACTGTAAGGGTGGCCCTTCGCCAGAGTGACCTTTGGTGCGTGGTTTTCGAGGGGCGCTGTTGGGCCAAGCCCAAGCACACAGGCCGCTGCCGTCGCACCGCGCGCAGCGGCCGACAAGCCGCGCACCACAGGGCACTCTTGCCTGGGGTCGTTCTCACGTGCAGCCGAATGGCCTCAGCTTGGGATTCTTTCCAGACGCCGACGCCTCTGAGCACGTTGCAGTGCCACTGCCGTCACAGTCGCGTCGTCTGCAGCCTTTATGGCTCAGGCTGCGCCTTGGGGCCGCGCAACACCGCCTCGGAGAGGCGAGAACGCGGATGGGCTTCTCCAAGAAGAAGGCGAAGAATTTCAAGAAGGCTCAGGCGCGGGTGGGACCGAAGGCTAAGGTAAAGGCGAAGGAGAAGAAGAAGATTGAGGCCAGGGAGCAGATCAAGGCATCGAAGCGAAAGGCTACTGAGGTCACAAACGCCAAGGCCGAGAAGGAGCGCGCGTCTGAAGCTGGAGACTTGCTCGGCGATGTCCGGTCCGTCGATGCGCTTTTCGCCCGCATGGGCAAGGACGAGGAGAGCGATGCGGAGGACGACGATGCGGGCTCGGACAGCAGCGCTGGCATCTTCCACGCCCCAGACGACGCTGCTTCCGACGACGAGTCCGACGAGGACGACGCCGGGCTGCCTCCGGACCCTGAGCACGAGGACGACGGCGGCGTGGAGGGGGGAGCCAAGCACGCCGAGGATTTGAAGGCCTTGAAGGAGAAGGACCCCGAGTTCTACAAGTTCCTCGTGGCCGAAGACAAGGCCCTGCTGGACTTTCGAGAGGAGGAGGGCGCCGCCGCGAAGGAGGAGGGTCAGCCCGAGGAGGATGACAAGGACAAGGGAGCCGGTGACCAAACTGAGAGCACGGTCATGATGGGAGGCCTGGAGGTTGGCACGAACACCAGTATCGGCAGTTGACTCACCCAGGGAAGATGATCCCGATCTCGGCGATGGTAATATTCGGGTGTCCTAGGTGGCCACGAGATCACCACCACCACGAAAATCTAGCATCACCTCCCCCATGGCGGCGGGAGTCCCGTGTGTTGGTGCTGGCGCCAATCTCCAAGACTCCAGAAACAAGGACAAGCTTGGATTCGCGAGGGGCTCCGGTCTTCGGGCGGCTCCGTAGGTCCAGGCCCTAGAGCGGATTGGGGGCCGAGGCTCGCCGTGGTCAGAAGAGCCCCGTTCGTTCTTCACAGTCGTCGCCCCTTATTGTAGCACGATGGTTGCAGCAAAACGAGCGGGGGGGGGGGCGTCGAGGTCTTCCCGCCACCGCCCTCGGGCAGAATCGGAAGGACAGAGAACGGTGACCATGACCAATATTGAACACGTTTCGATCTTGGTCACCGTCCATCTTGGCCATCGTCAATTCCCAGATCGTCCTCGCGAAACGGCGACGGCCAGCATGGACTATGATCAAGACCTGCATCGGCAAGGTCCCGTGCCATCTTGGTCAGGGTCACTGTGTTTCTTCCGTCGAGGAACGAACGAGCGTAAGCCTTGCGCCAGACGGCCCGACGGCCCGATGGAGCATAAGCCTCGCGCTGGGCGGCACGCGAGCGCAATGCCCTTCGCAAGAGCGGCGCACTCGCGGACGGCCGCTGGCAGGAAAGAAGGGCCTGGAGAGCGCGGCCACGCCGTGAGAAGCGTTCTGGCAGGTCCCACACCCCAGACGCCTCCGAGGCTCCCCCTCCCCAGACGCATCCTAGGCTGCGTGCCCGTTGGCGTGCCAGGGGGCCCCGTTCTGGCTCGAGGATACGCTCCCCAAGTTTCCCAGATCTCCGACGGTTTGATTTTGTCAATCCTGGCGTTTTTCTTCACTTCGACCTCTGGGGCCCGTTCTCGGGCCACAGGACCACAGAACATGGATCTGGCGCGAAAACTTGGCCCCGTGGCAGGGCTCGGGAGCTCTGGGGCCGCGGATTGGAAACGTCATGTTGGAGGATTTGGGGATTCCGTCAGCGCCAGGGGGGCCCGGAGAGGCGGGCCCAGGAGGGCCCGGCCCGGCTCGCCCTCCCACCACCCCCAGGAGGACGCCGCGAGGCAGGCAGACGGCAAGACGCTGACCATGGAGCGCCTGAAGCGCATCCAGGAGGCGGCGCCGACCTCTTTCACCGCCTGCAAGGCGGCGCCCGACCTCTGGTTTCCTCTCCTCCCCGCCCCCATCCCGAGAGTGCCCCTCCGCTGCGGGCCCGCCTCGGCCATCCAGGTGTGGTCGCGGGATCCCCCCGGGTCCGCTGTCTCCTCTTCATCCTCCTCCTCCTCCTCTTCCTCCTCCTTCTCCTTCTCCTTCTCCTCCCTCCTCCTCCTCCTCCTCCTCCTCCTCCTCCTCCTCCTCCTCCTCCTCCTCCTCCTCCTCTTCCTCCTCCTCCTCCTCCTCATTCTCCTCGTTGTTCCTCCTCTTCCTCCTCCTCCTCCTCCTCCTCCTCTTCCTCCCTCCTCCTCCTCCCCCTCCCCCCCCTCCTCCTCCTCCTCCTCCTCCTCCTCCTCCTCCTCCTCCTCCTCCTCCTCCTCCTCCTCCTCCTCATTATTCAACACCACCGACCCCTTGGGGCGGCAGCAATCGTCCCCCGCGTGGCCTGTCTGGACAGCCTGTGAGGCCCCTCTAGACATGTTTTGGAGCCCTCTTAGGACCGTCCTGCCGTTCCCCTCGGGCCGTTGCTATGGTTTCTGGGGCCTTCGTGGGGCGCCCGGAGGCCGTCGTGGAGCCTTTTGGAGAGTCTCTTGGGGTGCCAGGGGTCGATATTGGAGGTTTACTGGGCCGTTGTGGGCCTCGTGGAAGCCCAAGAAGCGAATATGCTGAAAATGTACGTTTAACCCCAGGAATGAAACGCTTTTTCCTTCTGGAGGCCTGCTTGAAGCGCCTCGTGGTCGCGTATGCAAACGTCTTGAACATCGATGGGGTTGTCTGGAGGCAATCTTGGGCGGTTTGGACCGAATCGTTCCCGCGTGGGCCGTCCGGACAGTTTTGGGGAGCCCTCTTGGCCTGTTTTGGAGCCCTCTTGGGACTGTCCTGCGGCTTTCCTGGGCCGTTGCTATGGTCTCTAGAGCCTTCGCGGATCGCCCGGAAGCCGTCTTGGAGCCTTTTTGGGAGCCTCTTCGGGTGACTGGGGTCGATCTTGGAGGTTTGTCGGGCCGTTGTGGGCCTCAAGCGAATGTTTTGAGAATGTATATTTACCTAGGGAATGGGGCGGTTTTTGCTTGTGGAGGCCTTCTTGGAGCGCATCGTGGTCGCGTTTTCAAACGTCTTGGACACCCATGGGGCCGTCTGGCGGCGATCTTGGGCGGTTTGGACTGAATCGTTCCCCGCGTGGGCCGTCCGGACAGCCTTTGGGGGCCCTCTTGCCCCGTTTTGGAGCCCTCTTGGGACCGTCCTGCTGCTTTCCTAGGCCGTTGCTATGATTTCTGGGGCCTTCGTGGATCGCCCGGACGCCGTCTTGTAGCCTTTTTGGGAGCCTCTTGGGCTGGCGAGGGTCGATCTTGGAGGCTTCTTGGGCCGTTTTGCGCCGCGTGGAAGCCGAATGGGCGAATGTGGTGAAAATGTACGTTTTCCCTAGAGAATGGGACGATTTTTGCTTCTGAAGGGCCTCTTCGGGACGCCTCGTACTATTGTTTCAAATGTCTTGGGGACTATGGAGCAGTGTGGAGGCAATCTTCGGCGTTTTGGGGCGATCTTTCGTCGATTCGTGGCTCTCTTGGACCGTTCCGGGAACGAACCTTTGGAACCTTTTTGGCCCGTTTTGGGGCCTCCTGAGGCTCCAAGTGTGCGGATGATGGATTGGCCCCCCCCTCCAAACCTGCCAGACCAGGCCCCCGGGGGAGGGGTTTGGGGAGGGGGAAGCATCTCACACGCCGTGACCCCAAGGGGTCGGCGGATTATTATCCTCATTGTTCTCCTCTTCCTCCTCTTCCTCCTCCTCCTCCTCCTCCTCTTCCTCCTCCTCCTCTTCCTGCTCCTCGTCCTCCTCCCCCTCCTCCTCGTGCTCCTGTCCTGTCTGTACATCTCCCTCCTCCTACTCCTGTTATCCTCCCCCTTCTCCCCTCCATCACTCTTCTTTATAAGAGAACTCATCCCTGTCGCTCCCCGAGACAGGTCGGTAGGGCGGGCCGGGCGTTTTCTTGAGACTTCTTCACAATATATGACCCTGAGGCTTGAAATGTGCAACACCTTCACGGATGGAGGGCTGGAGGTTTTCAAAAGATGGTTCTCGCTTTAGCGCCGCGTACGTTCGTCCCACCAGTTCGAAAGAACTTCACGGATGAAAGGCGGGTCGTTTTCAAACGTGGGTTTCGCTTTAGCGCCGCGCATACTCGCTTTAAACATGTGCGAGTGTTTCACGCATGGAGGGCGGGTCGTTTTCAAAAGTAGCGCCGCGTGCATTCGTTTTAAAAGTTTGCAGGAGACTCACGGATGGAAGGCGGGTCGTTTTCAAAATGCGGTGTTCGCCTAAGTGCCGCACACATTCGTTATTAAAAGTTTGCAAGAATTTCAAGGATTCTTATAATAGGCGCCGCAGAAATTGTGTTTTGGCACGATATCTGATTGTCAGGGCGCGACAGTCACGTTGATTCGCTGTGCTGGCGTCCCAGAAATGGTGTTCTTGTGCGTTTTAGGATCGTCAGGTCGTAACAGTAACGTGGATTCGCGGCGTGGAAGTCCCAGGAATGGTGCTCTGGCACGATGGGAGATTTTCAGACGGTTGTCTTTCAACAGGGCTCTTCCCGCAGCGAAAGTAGGTTTTTATTGGAGCACCTGAAGAGGGAACTTGAAGGGAGGATGTATTGCAACATCGTTGATGGGTCGTGGTTTTTTCACTGGTCATTATCCTCCCTCTTCTCCTCCTCCTCCTCCTCCTTCTCCTCCTCATGGTGCACGTGCGCTCCTCCTCCTCCGCCTCCTCCTCCTCCTCCTCCTCCTCCTCCTCCTCCCCCTCCTCCTCCTCCTCCTCCTCCAACTCCTCCTTCTCCTCGGCAGAAGAATGGGACAGGACAGAAGCAGGCCAGCAAGCAGCAGCAGGAGACGAGGAAGTCCTGAAGGCAGCGCGCACGAAATCGACTCGGGCAGAGGCGGATGGCACCAACGAGACAGACACGACATACCAGCCACTTCCGCCACCGCGTGTCCGAGCCGGCGCAGCTGGCGAGAGCAGCTGGGAGGGCCAGTGGGAGAGGAGAGAGCAGGAAGGAGCCAGAAGGGGGCGACGGACGCGTGGCGGGGAGAAGGAGGGTGGCGAGGAGCTGGCCGAAGGGCCGCCACCTGCGCAGTCGGCGCCAGACCCCTGGCGGGGCGGTCCTTCGGCGGGCAGGCAAGTTGCGCGGTAGACCTCAGCGCTGCCCCGCCGCAAGGTCACAGCGAGGCTTTGCAGGGCCGCCACGAGCGTCTCCGCGTCCACGTGCGCCCAGGTCTGGAGCGCCTCTAGCCCGGCCCGGCCCGTCAGAACGCCTCGAGGGCGAATGTAATCAGCCCAGGGCCCAGGTAGCGCTTGTGTTTGCGCTCTTCCCGAGATGCTGCAGCCGCGCCGTCATAGACAGTGCGGCTCCTGTCCGCCGCGGTCCAGGCGCCCGGTGCCGCGTTCGTGATCACGACGTCGACCTGAGCCAGTCATGCAGTCGGGTCGGTGAAAGCTGCGTCGAGCCGCGCGGCCTCGACGGCACCGTCAGGCCCGGCCCTGTCCCATGCGGGGACGTATTGCTCGGTCGCTACACCTGTGGCCCTTGGGCCGCGCAGCCAGCCCGCGAGCCATTTTGTCACGATGTTGTGGCGCGCGATGGTCCCGACGCATACATGGCAGTCGGCCACGTGGCCTGGGTTGGCCACCAAGTCCGCCCCACACCTCGCCCCACTTGGCCGGCAGCGAAGGCAGACGGCGCTGGGGTAGTCCGGCAAAGGCAGGCGCAAGCGGAGGGCAAGCGTTGACCGAAAGTGCGCGTCGGCCAGGCAATGGTCCGCTTGCCTCGGTGGCAGTAGCCAGGTGCCAGCGCCTTTCCCGCCAGCCGAGCGCAGCAGCGCGGCCTGGTCTGGCGGCAGAGTGTCCAGCAGCAGCTGCCTGCGAGCCTGCTGCTCCGCGGCCGAGAGGGTGCGCTGCGCCTTCCGCACGGATTCGACCGCGGCCGCGAGCCAGGGGACAGCGACCTGCTGCAGCGCCCAGCCCACCCCCTCCGCGACGGCCCACGCCCTGGGCAAGCCTGCGCTCAATGCAGACGCCGGCCAAGCACGCCTGCCACGCCCCCACCAAGGCCGGCAGCTGGCGGTCGGCAAGCCCCTGCAGCCTAAGTCCGCCCGCGGCCAGGGGCAGAAAAGCCTGCTCGCGCGCGTCGGCAGTCAGTGGCTAGCCTGCGAGCTCCTCCGCGCGTCGGCAGTCAGTGGCTGGCCTGCGAGCTCGTCCAGGTGGCCGAGCACCGCGTCGTCGTAGGCTCGGCTCCAAGCCTCGTCTAGCAGGTGCGCCCTCACGTGATGCAGGGCTGCGCCGTTGGCGAAGGTGCGGAGGAGTACCAACACCACCTCCTCCTCCTCCTCCTCCTCCTCCTCCTCCTCCTCCTCCTCCTCCTCCTCCTCTCCTCCTTCTCCTCCTCCTCCTCTTCCTCCTCCTCCTCCTCCTCCTCCTCCTCCCTCCTCCTCCTCCTCCCCCTCCTCCTCCCCCTCCTCCTCCTCCTCCTCCTCCTCCTCCTCCTCTTCCTCCTCCCCTTCTCGCGAGGCGGCGCTCAACTTCTACCACACGGCGGTACGCTCCATAGAGTCCGGCGGGGCCCAGGCCGCAGACGGCAAGGGCGACGACGCCGACGGCGTGGAGCATCGGGGGCGAGCGCAAGGGGCAGGGGAAAGCCTCCATCTGCCGCCCCCCCTTTCGTTCGGCGACGGGATATATACACATCCTCAGAGGAGGAAAAGATATCGATACCACTGTTCATCCTGGAGAGCCCTCGCCGCCACGGCTGGATTCTCGAAATGATGGTCGGAATGCACCCTGGGAGGAGTTCGAGGAGCAGCGGTATTGAGGTCCTCTTGCTTCCCAGTCGTTAGTGCCCCAGGCCTGGCCCATCCTGATCGAGCCCAGGCCGGGACAGCGAATATGTGTAGATCCCGTCACCCTATCTCTTCAGACCTCCGACGTCGTTCATCCGCGGTGCTGGTCCTGAAGCTCTCGACCCCCGTCCCCAGGCTTCTCGTCGCGGGCCGCGTATTTCTTGATGGCCCACGGGATGATCACGACCCCCCCTCCTCAGGCGCGCCGAGACCGCTGGAACAGATACTCAGGATCTCAAAATAATGGAGGGGGCATACTTTTGGGGGGGGTCTAACGGGCCTCGTCAAACAAGATCTGGGGGGGGTCTCGATTTTGGACCCTCACATGCCTCCCAAGGGGGGGTGTACTTCGGGTTGTCATGCAAGTCGTTTGGGGGAGGTCTACAAGTTGTCGACATCTGATGACGACTTGGGGGAGGGTCCAGCTCCGCGCCAGTCGCCAGCTCCCTGACGACGACCCCGACGCCGACGACCACGACGCCCGCGACAGCGACGACCACCGCGATGACGACGCCGACGCCGACGCCGAGGACAACAAAGGAGACGATGACGAAGAGGACGAGGAGGACGACGACGACGACGAAGACAACGAGTCCGACTACCGCGACGACGACGACGATCACGCCGTTGACGACGAAGAGAACGACCACGATAGCAAACGACAACGACACGGACGACGACGAAAACCACGACGAACCCGACGACGACGATGACACCGACGACGACGACACCCACGACGATGACGACACCGCGACGACAAGAACGAACGTGACGACGACGACGACGACGACGACGACGACGACGACGGGTAACAGTTGTGCTCGGCGACGCACAGAGGTTTGAGCCCCCCCTCCTCCTCCCTCCCTCCCTCCCTCCCTCCCTCCCTCCCTCCCTCCCTCCCTCCCTCCCTCCCTCCCTCCTCTCTCTCGCAGTGGCATCGGCCGTCCCATACGCCTCCGCCCGCGCATGCCCGCGCCGCCGGCGGTTGGGGCCGAGGCGCGCCTTTTCCGAGGGGGGGGAAGGGGAGGGCAGCTCCATCATCCAACTGGGCACATACAGGGGGAGGAGGAGGAGAGGGAGGAGGAGGAGAAGGAGGAGGAGGAGGAGAAGTAGGAGGAAGAGGAGGAAGAGGAGGAGGAGGAGGAGGAGGAGGAGAGGGAAGAGGGAGAAGGAGAAGGAGAAGGAGAAGGAGAAGGAGAAGGAGAAGGAGAAGGAGAAGGAGAAGGAGAAGGAGCGGCTGGGCCGCTCATGGGATGCGGTGCAGCGCTAACATGAAGTAGACGTAGTACGTTGTGTGTAACGATGTACTTGTATACCCTTGCCCGTAACGCTGTGGTTCGTAATCGTCTCCGGCTTCAGGCAGGCCAGGTTCGCGTTGTGTTTTATGGCGCCATCGGGTTGTGGGCCATGTCGAAGCCCGCTTCGACGCCGAGGATAAGCTCGAAGTAGGCGGCTACGCTTGGCTGCCCTTCGGCGGCTGCCGTGCCGTACATCTTTTGGAACACCATGTCGATGTGCATCAGGTCTTGGTAGCTGTACTTGCAAGCCGCCTGCTGGAACGCAAGCCCGAGCGCCTGTTTGGTCGTAAGACCTACGGGCTCCAGGCAGGTTGTTCGAACCCAGATGTACTCCGAGCCTGCCTGGAATACCCAGCAGTCGATTGCCTCATCATAAGGCCCGAGTATACCTTCCTGCCCGTTTAGTAGCGGGCGGGCGTTGATGCCGACAAGGCGCACGGCCACGCTGGGGGCGAGCTCCCAGCTCCCGCTGGCATCCTGCTGAAGCCCAGCGTTGTCAGGCTGAAGCCCTGCGCCTACTGGTGGTCGTCGTAGCTCACTTGGAGGTGCTCGTGGCCGTGCTTGTGGCCCTCGCAGTTGTGCTCGTGGTCGTAGTTACGCTGGTGGCCCTCGTATGTATGTTGGAAGCTCTGGTAGCTGGCCCAGGTAGCTCTGCCAGTGGTTCCCACAGGACAGGTTATGATCCTCGGAGCCTGCATGGGCTTCTCGTCGTGCAGCCTGTGGTCCTTGTAGCTCAGCCGGTGGCCCTCGTAGCTCTGTTGGTGGCCCTTGTAGCTCAGCAGGTGGTCCTCGTTTCCCTGTTTGTGGTCCTCGTAGTTCAGCTGGTGGCCCTCGTAGCTTAGCCGGTGGCCCTCGTAGTTGCTGGTGGTTCTGGTAGCTCAGCTGGTGGCCCTGTTACATCTCTTGGTGCCTCTCGTAGCTCAGCTGGAGGTCCTCGTGGCCGTGGTTCTGATTGTTGTGGTTCTGATTGCTGTGCTTGTGGTCTGAGTGCTGTGGTTCTTGCTTGTGGTTCAGATTGCTGTGCTTGTGGTCCTCGTAGTTCAGCTGGTGATCCTCGTAGATATGTTGGAAGCTCTGGTAGCTCAGCAGGTGGCCTGGGTAGCTCTGCAAGTGGCTCCCGTAGCTCAGGTTGTGGTCCTCGTGGCCCAGCTTGTGGCCCTCGTAGTTCAGCCTGTGGCCCTAGTAGCTGAGCGAGTGGCCCTTGTAGAGCCGCTGGTGGCTCTTGTAGCTCAGCAGGTGGCCCTGGCAATTACCTCTTATGGTGCCTCTCGTAGCTCAGCTGGTGGTCCTCGTAGCCGTTCTTGTGGTCCTCGTAGCTCGTAGCTGTGCCTGTGGTCCTCGTAGTTCAGCTGGTGGCCCTCGTAGGTCTGTTGGAAGCTCGGGCAGCTCAGCAGGTGGCCCAGGTCGCTCAGCAAGTGGCTTCCGTAGCTCGGGTTGTGGTCCGCGTAGCCCTGCTGGTGGTCGTCGTAGTTCATCCTGCGGCCCTCGTAGCTCAGCTGGTTGCCTTTGTAGTCTTGCTGGTGCAGGTGGCCCTGGCACCTCTCTTGGTGCCTCTCGTGGCTCAGCTGGAGGGCCTCATAGTTCGGCCTGTGGTCCCCGAAGGTAGTCTGGTGGCCCTGGTAGCTCTGCTGGTGGCTGTAGTAGCTCAGAGGGCACGCTCTCTTCGTAGTCCCCGAGGTCCGAATCGGAGTCGTCTGCGGCCAAGTCGTAGTGTTCCACGTCCTGGAAGCCAGAGTAGTCCGGGAGGTCGTAGGAGTACCGGTCGTTATCGAAAAAGTTGCCGTGGTGGTATTCGTATGCGGCGGAGCCGTTGTCGTGCTCGTCGTAGGCGGCGCGGCCGTTGTCCACCAGTACCTCCACGACGACGTACTTCTGAACCCCTTCGGGCTGCTCGGTCGTGTCGGTTTTGGTGGCGTACGTGGTGTCGTGATGATATTGGTCGTCCTTGGGCTGCCCGTTACGCAGCTCGTTATTGTTTTGGGCTGCCTGTTACTCAGCTCGTTCTCGCAGTTGGGCTGCATGTTACGCAGCTCGTGATTGGACGCTCTCGAGAGGGCGGTCGCAGCAATAATGATTATATCGTCGGGTCGAGGCTGAATCCCCCAAACGTTGTACCCCACTCCTTTTTGGGTCGTGTCAGTTCGCGCCCTCGTTCCTCGATGCGTGTATGGTGTCGCCATCTTGTCTGCTACGTCTCCACACGAGTGGTTGAGTCTGGTAGCTCTGTAGCAGAACGACCGGTGGTTGATGTTGCAGTCGCGGCCGATCGCCTTCGTGCCGGGGCGGCGCCCCCTGGCCGCGGTCGCGGTTGGGGGGGCCGGGGCCGGCCCGCTGGGCATGCGGCGCGCGCGCGCGGGCGAGCGAGGGGGACGGACCCCGCCCACGGCCCCCTCCCCCCGCCCCCCGCCCCCGCCCCCTCCCCTCCCGGGAGCCACAGCCCAGGAGCCACAGCCCGCTCCAGAGCCCCCCCGGCGGCCACCCACCGCCGCTTCTTGCCGCCACTGGCTGCCGAGGGGAGCCTGAAGAAGGGAGGAGAGCGGGAGGCAGGGACGGAAGGAGGGACGGCCCCGCGCCGGGCACCACCTGGCTCCACAGCGCGGCACGGGGGGGGAGGAAGAGGCAGGACACCGAGCACCGAGCCACCCGACAGAGCCGTCGACAGACACGCACACACACACACACACACACACAACACGCACCCCGCCTTTGCCCCCACGGACCACCACGAGCCCCACGACGAGAAGGAAGAGGGAAGGGGCCGCGCCGCGCCCGCGCTTTCGCCGTGCTTCGGTTGTTCCCCCCCGACGTGCCCGCGCGATAGCCTGACTGGTTCAACCTGACGCCAGCTTTCTGGCACGAACGATGGCGCCATCCTGGCAACGGGACTTGGGTTTCAGAACGTCGTACTCCGACTGATAATGTACCTCCAGGTTGATGAACATGGCTTCCCACTGTGCGAGCTGCATACATTCCAGAATTATGCACGATGGACTGCAAACTAGGGGGGACGACACTACGCGGGACAAACAAAACAAGTGACCGTCTTGAACAAGCACCTTGAGAAGCGCCAGAAGCCGCTGACACTGCCAGACACTCCATCAAACCATTCCATGGTTTGGCACACCCGCTGATATGAAGGACACTACTGAAGAAGATGTCGGGCTCCACCTGAAACAACATTTGTATTTTTTGCAATGCCAGAACTCGCTGCCACTGCACCACCTGCTCGCACGTACACGAGACCAGAAGATATGCAAGACAGATTTTAAGGGGTCAAAGCCCACCATCGCAGCCACAAAGTCTGCAAATACAAAAAAACAAGATCCTCCCACCCAGTGCTGTGCTCTGTGGGGCGTGCATGGCCCAGAAGGCTCGATCCTCCCACATCCGAACAGCAAGGCCCAGCCTCCCCCAGGCGGTGCTGGGAAGGACTTGAACACTTCGCCCTGCCTTCGCCACTGGGATC